AACCTCTTCTATAGAAGAGGTTAGAACTGGCAGGAACCCATCCCTGCTCCTGTCGTTTGTCTTTTGGGAAAAATCATGATTTTTCTAGAGCACAGGTGTCCTAATTACTAAGCAAGTTCAGAGGAAAGCTGAACCAAAACTTTCCATGTACCAAGTAGAGTACTTTAAATGTTGGTGAGAAATTCCTAAAGGAGTAAGCACCATCCTTCTGAAACTCTGGATGGGGAGGGATGAATTGAACCTTCAAGGTATACATCAATGTTCATTCTCTTCAACTTATGAAATATTTTCCTGGCTGATTTGACATATAGTCAGTGGTGTATTAACCATTAAGCAGACTAAGCACGTGCTTAGGATACCAGGCCGAAGGGGGCTCCACAAAATTGAGAAAGAGAAAAAAAAAACTAATGAAGATTTGTACAGTATGAACAAAGGAGGGGGGCACCGAGATTTGTCAGTGCTTAGGACACCAGTGAGCCTTAATCTGCCACTGCATATAGTTAGACAGAAAGGTGATTGATATGTGACTATTCTACACAAAAACATGGAAAGAGGTAATACTGTCTTGGTTGTTAATTTGAAATGAATATGAGCTGTGACTCCTGTCAGCCCCTTTGTCCCTCCAGCCAATCCCCACCCCCACCCCAAATATCTTCTTTATTTTGTAGTTTTCTACACTTGCTTCTTAACTCAGTTGTGCGTTTTGTAGCAATCCCAAATCCACGGAGAGCACTTTTCTGATCGGACTTTCATTTCTTACTCAACAGTACTGAATACATGGAACATTTTGACAACCGGAATTTGCTGGCCTTCTCAGTGGAGCCCCTGCTGGTTTATCCAACACACTACACCGGGGATGATGGTTACGTCAGCGACACAGAGACCTCCGTGGTGTGGAACAATGAGAAGGTCAAAACAGATTGGGACCGGGCCAAGTCGCAGAAAATGAAGGAGCAGCAGGAGTTGAGGAACGAAGCCAGGAATTCAGACGTGCTCCAGTCCTCACTTGACAGGACAGCCCGGGATGAGCTATGACCCTGTGTGGATGCCTGAAGAAAGGGGACCGGGAGAGAGACAGCGCAAGGGGAAGCTTTTTTTGCCTCAGGGTTGATGGGTGGATTCTCTCAGATGTCAACAGTGGGGTGCATCATGCCTCCTTGTAGCGCCTATGGGAAGCCTCAGTCCCTTGCAACCTGAGGAACCCTAAATGGAAATGGTGGCGTCTTCTTAATTCTACCATCTCCTGCTCTCCAGTTCTGTGGGCAAATGTGGGGCAGAGGCAATCTGGCAGTACTCATTTGAGAAGTTTTATTCTCTGATAATAGGCCTTTTACATGGATTCTCTGTGTTGGGAGAGGGAGATGTTGAACAGATGCAGCTCAGCTTAGCAGGTTTCGATGTCACGATGCTCCATATCGGACAAAACCATTTCACTTGGCAGTAAAAGGCAGTAAAAATATTCTGGTTAATTTTATATAAATGTTCTTCCAGTCACAGTTTCATATCTCTTTCCAGAAGAATCTTGATTTTTTTTCCTCTCCTGGTTCCTTGGTTGTGTTGAACCAGAGGTGGGTTCCTACCAGTTTTCACCAGTTCGGTAGAACCCGTTCGTCAAATCTAACGAACCGGTTAGAA